AAGTGAAATTATAATTTACCAAAAAAAAAGGATAGCTTGATCTGAAACATTTAAATGTGAAGGAAAACCAGAGTCATCTATGATGATATACACTGCTTATATATCATTGTTCTGCAGATGTATCATCGGGTTCCCCAGTCCCACATTATTTGTTGACCCGATCCAAATGGGCGTGTGCGACACGAAGGGCCGGGAGGCCTGCTGTGGATGACCCAGGCTGCGCTAATAGGCAGATCCAGAGCAGAATGCCCCCTTTGTGTTGGAGCGATTTAATGAGTCCCTCTCAGAACTCCATGTTGGCTCAGTCTCCAACAAGGAGGTCTTTTGTGGGATGAGCGGATGGTTGTGTTTGTTTCTTTGTTAAATTGTAAACTGCGGCTCAGAGAAAAAGAAGTTTCTAATGAGGTTTGGAAAAGGCTGTAAGTGTCATTTCAATAGTTACATAGATCATCAGGGAGGTCCTGCTTTACATTTTGGAAATGATCAATTATTCTGGAGTTTCTGATCCAATATGAATCCTTGATAAAAAAAAAAATATACTTTAATTAATTAATCTTCAATATGCAAGGTGATCTCTAATTGAAGAGATTCCTGCAGTTATCCAATGCTGAGCTTTGGAGATTTTCTTGTTTTTGCTCCTACTGTTGATCCAAACAAGGTTAGCAAAGTGCTGATTTTTCTAACAGCCTTTTTCTGACATATTCGTGTTGATATCAACAAACTTTGTGATTGTAAAGTTCTCTTGGTTTCCACATTTTGAGGAGCGTGTTTGTGAAATTCAAGATGAGGACAAATCACTCAGAGAGGATGTAGCAGCAATTAGACTGTTCATTTTAAAAATTTGAACACATTTCTATCTGGTGCCTTATAAATAAGTTGTGTGAGCCACTATTTCTAAAGAAGAAGTCGTTCTTTAGGATGTTTTTTTTTTTCTTGCCTGCTTTTCTTTGTATTTATATTTGAAATAAGGCATACAAACAGTAGGTTGCTAGGTTATATTTTTGATCAGGGGTCAAAACCTGTCATATTATAAAAGTGTCAACTGATCTAATCAGTCTTCTTGGGCTGCAACTAATGATTATTTTGCAAATCGATTAATCTGTCATTTATGTTTTGATTTAATAATCACATTGCAGAAGGTTCCTTAAAGAAGACCTTTCATGAAATTGATTGAACCGGGTGATACTAAAAGTTTTCCACTGGAGGAGTTCTGGATAGGGCTTATTGGCAGATTAAAACTTTTTTTAAAATCTTAAATTCAAAATTATCTCATATTTTTATTTTTTTTTTTAATTTTTACAATCTTGGTATAATTACTTCTCTAAGTCTCTAATAATCATGATTAATTGTATTAATTGTTTCAGCCCTATAGTGAATAAAACCAAAATAATGAAAATACAAGATTTTATCCATTTAAATCAAGTTATGCATTATATTGAAGCAATATGGCAACTATATATTGGCATATTTTGTTTTCTGGGTTGGAAAATGGATTATTTGTTAAAAATCTAAGTAGAAGAGCATAACATGACAATGTGTATGAAATAACGGATCCAAAGTCAGTCCAGGACTTTCCCAGAAGTTTGTTGGTAAAGCTGCTTGTTTCTGACCAAAGAACCCGGAAGTTTTAAACAACACTTCTGCAGTGGAAGGATGAACCAGAGTTGTTATTATGGTGCAATACATGAGCCGTTTGTAGCATACAGCTGCAGATCCATAACTACTACATTAAAACTTCAAATTAGTAGAAGGATGATTAGGTCTTTACCAGATGTTTTGTAAAGATATTGCTCATCTGCTGTGCATAGCTGTGTTAGTCCAAAAAATGTAAAGATTTATATCCATACATCACAATATAAATGTAGCCGAGTCCTTGTTCGTTCTGGAGGTTTCTGCTTTTGCAGATACCCAGTCATTGATGCACAGTGCTTAAGGCTGCTGCTGGGGATTTCAGTGGATTCAGATTTCTGTTGAATTCTGAAGAACAAAAAATATTGAGACTTAAAAGTTATTCTGGTTCCTGAAAAAAATACTCCCGGCTATGGAATATAGATAGCAAATAAACCTAACTGTTAGATCTTCTTTATGAGACATATCTTTGTCTAATTTTCATTTCTTTACTTTAACATAGCTAAAAGTGCGGCATGTACTGCACAAAATCTTTCTACAATATAATTTATACTCAACGAAATTTATTTTATTCTGGGAAAAATCCTTTTATGACAGGAAAAGCTTTGATTTCTCTTACGTTTGATTTGGACCACACATTCATTAATTTGTAGCTGGAGGTCCAATCAATCATTAATTAGGATTAGAAGAAATAACATCCCTGTTTGTGAGAGAGAGAGAGAGCAGTCTTTGTTACACAGCTTCAAAACGGTACTGCTTTGTTGTCACAAGAAGCTTTCTGTTATCTGCTGAAGTCATGCCGCAAAGACCTGAAGCAGCCGCCAAGATGCTTTTGAATTAAATTAGGTGATTTATTTAGCTTAATTCAAGATATTAGAAATATTTAACTATCAGTCTTTCTCACTAAATAGCAACTCTTAGACCAAAGAGTATTTTTAGTGGAATCTGCTAGCTTCTACCACATACATGTTGCATCTCTATTCAGAACATTTTTCATGTACGGTTTCTTCCTACGGTTTGTTGCCCCTCATGAATCACCATGCAGAGTCATGTCACTGTACACTGTGCTGCACTGTGACCTTTCTCCATCTCTGACTCCCCTTCGTTCTCCTTTCCAGTGGCTACCATGACGACAGAGGCAAGCGCTGTGAACGAGGCTGATACCGAAGGCAAGAAGAGCAGCCACGCTCCGCCAGAACCGCAACCTGAAGCTGTGCAGCAAGAGGCTGCCGCGTCTGAGCAGGAGGCCGAGCAGCCGAGCAAAAAGGCCCAGGAACCGACTGCTGAGCCCGGGCCTGCGTCTGGGGCTACCTCCCCTGAGGAGGAGCAGCTGAAGCCTCGTACCAGAACCTCTGCCGGCAAAGGCCTTTCACGCCTCTTCTCCTCTTTCCTCAAACGGCGCTCTCAGTGCTCGGAAGGCGAAGGCTTTGAGGCTGAGAAAGAGAGCGACGAAAAGGCAGACAAAGAGAAAGCTGACAACACCGAAGAAGAGAAGGTGGAAGAGGTGAAGAGTGAAGACAAGGAGTCTAAAGCAGTGGAGGAAAAATCAGAAACCAAAGAAGTTAAAAAGAAAGAAGAGGAAAAAAGTGAACAAAAACAGGAGGTAAAGAAAGTGGAAGAAAAGGTTGAGAAGAAAGGCAGTAAAAAGAAAAAGAAAGAAGCAAAGAAGAAAGCAGAGGAAAAGGATGAAGGCAAAGTGAAAAAGGACGAGACAAAAAAAGAGGAAGAAAAGTCAGAGAAGCATGAGGAGCCAAAGGAGGAAAAGGTGAAGACAGCTGTAGAAAAAGAAGAAGCAAAACCAGAGGCAAAAGAAGAAGAAAAGAAACAGACATCTGAGGTTAAAGACAAAGGAGCGGAGGCCGGAAAGAAAGAAGGAGGAAAGGTTGACAAGAAGGAGGCAAAAAAAAAAGAGAAGGAAGAAAAGCTGAAGAAAAAGGAGGAGGAAAAAGCAAAAAGAAAGGCAGAAGAAGAAGAGAGGATAAAAAAGAGAGAAGAGGAGAAGGCAAAGAAAAGAGAAGAAGAAAAAGCCAGAGAGGCTGAAAAGTTGAAAAAAAGAGAGGAGGAAAAGGCCAAAAAGAGAGAGGAGGAAAAAGCTAAGGAGGAAAAAGCTAAAGAAGACAAGACAAAAAAGGAGGAGGAAAACACTAAAGAGGAAAAAATTAAAGAAGACAAGACGAAAAAGGAGGAGGAAAACACTAAAGAGGAAAAGGCAAAAAAGAAGGAAGAGGAAAAACCAAAAGAGGAGAAACAAGAGGAAAAAGCAAAACAATTGGAGAACACTGAGAAAGAAGAGGAAAAGTCTGAGGAAAATCAGCAGAAAGAGGAGGAAAAGGGAAAGAAAAAGGAGAAGGGAAAGAGCAAAGGAAAGAAGGAGGATAAGGAGGAATTAAAGCCAAGTAAAGAACAGGTTAAAGCACCGATTGCAGCTCCAGAACCAGAACTAAAAATTGAGCCGGACACTGAACAGGCTGCAGATCAGCAGTCAGTAAGCAGCGCTGAGACTCAGGTGAGACAAAAGAAGAGCACAGGCATGTCACACTGACCTCCAGTGGGACATGCAAGGGTTTATTTTATCTAATTTATAAGCAAATCATTGACAATACCTAGAAAAAGGAAGGCACTTCATGGAGGCGGCTTCGAACTGCAGGTTTTGATATTTTCACCAAAACAGGTTACATCAACACCTTGATTCAGCATATTTTTATACCCTCAGTTTACCTTAACAATAACTGGCCAATGCAATAAGGTGGCACCAAACCTTAGATATCAACTAACATCCTTTTCTTCCTCTTATGGTGGTGTTATGGAGATCTAGGATGACCGTCTGATAAAGATGTTTTATTAACCCATTAAAGATTTCCCCCATAGTTTAAAATCTAGTTAGATGCTCAGGTAATTAGGATTGCCCTCTTTCCTCTGATTACTGCCACCAAATGACTAAAACATCTGTGATCGGTAGATTGTTGATCTAGTAATGTCAAATGCTGAGTGAAAGTGGGTGTGAGTAATTGAGCTGATTTTCTAGGAGAATAATTGTATAAAAGGGTAAAAGTTAAAATAGGAAATATATTTTTTGTTTCCACCTTTTTTTTTTTATGTCCACACATTTCATGGCTTTATATGTGTTTGTGCGTTTACATGGAAACAATCAGGATTCCTCATTGAGCAAAATTGCAGCTAAAATCTTAGCTTGCAGCCCAGTTAACCCATGCAGGTAGCCATAAACTGCCGTACAGCTAGATATTTGTTAAACTGGGTTATGTTGGTTAAACTACTGCTGCCACCATCTGTAAAGTATGCTCAACTGTATTTGACTTGTTTTTTTATGTTACTTTACCAGCCTGCTCCAGAAGAGCAAAAGGAATCAGAGATAAAGGAAGAGCCCGAAGCAGAAGAAGTGAAAAAGGAGGCTACTGAAAAAACAGAGGAAGCAGCAGAAGAGCAGAAGGCGACTAAAGAGAAAGAAAAAGTAACTGAGCAGGCAAAGAAAGAGAAGCCTTCAAAGGAAAAGAAGACAGAAAAGAAGACGGAGGAGGCTAAAGGCCCCAAACGTCCAAAAACCATGCAATGTAAAGTCACCTTACTGGATGACACTCTGTTTGAGTGTGAGCTTGACGTAAGAGAAACGGCTTATTATATCCACCTATGTTTATATATTGCTCTACCCGTTAGTATGGTTATACAGACTGATGACACCTGTTATGTCCACACCAATAGAAACATGCTAAAGGCCAGGAGCTTCTAATGAAAGTGTGTGACCATGTCAACCTGCTGGAGAAGGATTACTTCGGTCTGGCCATCTGGGAAACTCCAACCAGCAAGGTCTGCATCTTTTTCTTTATTTATGATAGAAAAAGAAAAGAGACTAAGACCCTAACCTGAGACCTGTGGTTGTGTTTCCTCCCCTAGACATGGTTGGAACCTGTCAAAGAGATCCGAAAACAGGTTTCAGGTGGCGTCTATGAGTTTACATTTAATGTAAAGTTTTACCCTCCTGATCCGGCACAGCTTACAGAAGACCTCACCAGGTATTTATATCTTTAACCTGAGCAAGCACTTAATATATCACCTAAGCTAAAATGTCATCTTTTATAAGCTGACCTGTGATGATGTTAAAAAGATGGTTCTGGATTTTTGAAGTAAGATTGTCTTAAAAGGTTATAGGATGCAAACCAAACTGTTGGATAATACCTCTGATACCAGAGTTTAATAAACTCCCACAGAGCTGATTTTAACACCTTTTCATGGTTTATATAGCTCCACAATTTAAAGAGTCAAATTAACACTTTGAAAATAGTTAAATACGCTGTGTCAGAGTTTCTATTTTAACTGACAATTCAGAGTTAAATCAACACTCTAGGATTAAATAATCAATACTAGAGAGTTGCTTAAGATAAATTAACAACTTCTTTACTTTAAAATGCCCCCTGGGAAAACATTACTTTATGCTCCGGGTTAATTACGATAAAGAAAATGGAAATCCTTCCAAACCAGTAAATGAAAAACAAACCCCTAAAATGCTGGTGACAGCTGAAACTGTTAAATGTAAATACACAAACAGGCATTGGCCATTCAGGATAATTCTTTTCATTATATTTAATTATTTTTTTCTGTTGCTTTTAATCTTCCTTATGGAACATGCATTACAGAGCAAACCAAACTACTAGTGAGCATCTGATCAAATCAAACGGTCATTTTAAAAACGACAAAAGTTTAAATATGATGTATATAAAAAAAAAAAGGCAACATCATTGTGTAAGATACAACCATAACAGGTCAGAACGTTTACCAACTCATTACTCATCATACAAAATCGTTTCGCAGCTCTCCACCATGTTGAAACGTCAAAGTTTACCTCATCTCGGCAACTCTGATATAAAGTTATACCAACTTTCCAGTGGAAATTACAACAGCATTTCTGATGTCATTTTTGGTATTTACTATAATCATGATACCACATGAAGGCAGCTTAAGCATCAGCAATGTGTTAACATCCCACATGAACTATTGGCTAACACATTGTAAAAAGTCATTATAAAAAGGATGCTTTCATTTAACATTCAGTGAAGTGTATATTTCTAGACATATTTGAAATACTTTATCAATTTAAAGGATCTTAATCAAAGCTTTAAGAGGTTGCTCCTATTATGTGCTGCAACAGAACATGAATTAAATGGCGCCGTTTTCAAGCAGTATTCCAGTCTTTAACCAGAAGGTAAGGGGTGAAATTTCCTCTCAGAGGAGGAAACCCAACATCAATGCAAACAGCTGTATGCAATAACCATAAAAGTAGACACAATTTAAATCCTTAACTCAACACTAAAATATTTACCCTTGGAAATGTACCACCTTAGTTTATGCTGTGTAAGGAGGTGGAACCGCAGTGCTTCCGTTTGGTGCACTGCCACGTTTTTTTACGTGTCCAAGGCGGGGATCGTTAAGCCTAGAAGTCAGTTGATGAAAAGGAAAGCAGATCCCTTTAAGTTTACATATAAAAGATATGGAATTGTATATTTTGGACTTTTTTTTTTTTTTAGTAAAAGTTGTATTAATACAGTAAATTAAATGCTAATACGAGCATTGAAAAAGGAGTAAAAAAAACAACTATATATTTAAACTCACCAACAATAGATACAAAGAAAAAAATAAGATAAAGTAATAAAATAAAAGCAGACACATGGGTCGCTGGTATTTCTAGCAAAATAAACACTTTACTGACTTGTTGTTCTATTTAAAGCCTACATGTTCACTACTAGAGCGTGAAGTTCGCTCTGCTCTGAAAACGCTCCCTGTGGAATAAGGTGGCTGGGAGACGCTGCAGCACCGCCTCTCCATGCGGAGCATGCACTGATTTTACATCCAGTAAAACCAGAGGGACGGGGCATATCACAAACGATAAACACGTGATAACATAGCACACACCAGCTAACTAAAGATTAGCAAAACTCATCCTAATAAGCTCTTGAAGCAGTGACTGAATGTTGGGGTCTGGCTGTAACCCAGCTTTACTTATCTTGTCTTGGCCTTGGTGCTCCATTTCTCCTGTCTGTTATATCAGTTGTGCTAACACTGAATGGCGTGACAGAAAACAAGGCTTATTGGACTTATTCTGTGTTTTTTTTTTTTCTTTTCTTCAGTTGATAAAATTTTCTCCCTGATATCTCAGAAGGTCCTAGGAACAAATTTCATTACAGCTCCTTGCATCGACTTATATAATGTTTAACCTTAAATAATAGAATAAATTGTATCATTTTTTTTTTTTTTTTTTTTATCTATGTGTCTAAAAGGGAATTTGGACCATTAGCAATTTATCAAGATGGGCAGCGACTTACCAGTGATGGACCAACCTATTACCATTGATTTCTGTGTAAAATATTACCCAATTTAAATGTGGCAACTGTTTCAAGTTTCTTGAATTTAGGTGCTGATACTTTTAAGATTGGAGCTACTGTAAGACAAAAGTTAAGAAGATATTAAATGCTTGAACTCTTTTAAACCTTACTTCAAAAATGCCAAACATCGCTCACAATTCAGATCGTGCTTTTTTTGTTTGTTTGTTTGAACTGTTTAAAGTGTTTTCATATCTTTATATTTTATTTCTTTTGCAGATATTTCCTGTGTCTTCAGCTCAGGAAGGACATCATGCTTGGGGTTCTTCCTTGTTCTTTTGTCACGCTGTCCCTGCTGGGCTCCTACACGGCCCAGTCAGAGCTAGGAGAATATGACCCGGAGCTCCATGGGACTGATTATGTTAAAGATCTAAACCTGGCACCGGGGCAGACCAAGGAGCTGGAGGAAAAAGTGATGGAGCTGCACCGAACATACAGGTCATTAAAGAGTTAGAGACAATCATTTAAAGGAATAGAGCTTTATTAGCAAATACTTTTCATTGCACTTATTAAGTACCGGTAGGTTTATTGTTTCTCAGCCCAACAGGGTACATCTTTGTTTTAACCTTTTAGATGAATCTTCTTTGAAAATACTTTTTCCTCCCTTCCATATTAAGGTCAATGAGTCCAGCCCAAGCAGATTTGCTGTTTCTGGAAAATGCCAAGAAACTTGCGATGTATGGAGTTGATCTGCACCAAGCCAAGGTAAAAAAAAAAATTTTTCAAATAAGAAAAAAAAAAGCTTTCCTTTTTGTTGTAATGTTCTCATTTTTATGTAATGTCTTCCTTTTTTAAAATGCTTAATAATACTTTGCAACAGCCATCATGTTTTGCATCATTAAGCTTTAATGACAAAATCGATGTCAAGTCCCTTGGAGATAAAAAATTTAAGGATTATAACATTTCAAACCATGTGACTTCAGACTAAATTAATTAGGAAAGAAAGACTGCCCCCTTGTGACAGTTTTGTGTAAGTACCAGGAGATAACATTGTTTTTTTTTCTTGCATGCAGGATCTGGATGGTGTTGACATCACACTAGGTGTTTGCTCCAGTGGTTTGATGGTTTACAAGGACAAGCTGAGGATCAACCGTTTCCCGTGGCCCAAAGTGCTCAAAATCTCTTACAAACGAAGCAGCTTCTTCATTAAAATCAGAGCATCAGAGGTACATGCATTCTCACCCATTATTTGATTAAAACTAGACTTGGCGTCCTACTGATGACTTTTGTTGTTTGATGGATGGGCTGCTACCAGTTATTTTATTTTGTTTTTTTTTTCTTCCTGTGCAGCAAGAGCAGTATGAGAGCACCATTGGCTTCAAGCTTCCCAACTACAAAGCCTCAAAGAAGCTTTGGAAAGTTTGCGTTGAGCATCATACTTTCTTCAGGTAAAAAAAAAGAACTTAACTCACTTTCATGGAAACCTTTTTTCCTCAGAACAAAAGATAATAAGCAGCTTTACTTTATCCTCTAATTGACGGCAGGCTAAGTGAAAACTGCAGGTTAATAATTGTTACATCTGCAGTGGAAAAGCTGCAGACTTATCTTCCTACTCTATGCATTAGACTTCTAAGGTTTTTGGTATCTCAATAAATAATCAAAATGTTCAACTCCTTTATAGATACATCACACACAGTGTGGTGTATTACAATGGTTTATTTCCATATTTAGTGTATCAGAATTTATTGTAAGACTAATAAAAAAAAAAGGATTTCAATAGATAAATGTGATATTATGGCTTACACAACTGTGGTAAACAGCTGAGTTTATAGTTCTCCAATTGACTGTAAATGGAAGCCTACACAAGGAAGGCAATCTACAAGGGTCAACTCAAATTTTACTTCATTAATGTCTCACATTGCTTAGTGATACATTTTTATTATTTTAGTTCTGAATTTTATTAGTTTGAGTAATAAAGAACTGAAAGAACAATGTCTCTCCTTCTCAGGGTTCCTTCCGTGGAGCCTCCATCCTCCCGCCGTTTTCTTGTCCTGGGTTCCAAGTTCAGGTATAGCGGCCGTACTCAAGCCCAAACCCGACAGGCCAGCTCCATGATCGACAGGCCAGCCCCTCGCTTCACACGCTCTGCCAGCAAGAGGTTGTCACGCAACTTAGACGGTGGTAGGTGAAACTGTGTGTCTGAAATAGTTTTGTTGCTACAAGGGTTGAGAAGCAGCTGTCTCACTTGTTTCGCTTCTGCAGCTGGAGATCAGACTCTCCAGTTTCTGCAGCTACTCTCTGCATCATGCAGGTCTGAGGTTGATGATTGGTCTTTGTTGATGGCAGCAGAAACGTCCCGGCCCTCTGCTGAATTTCCAGGTATCGGGATGTGCATGAAGTGCATAAGCTGCTGGTTTAGTGCTAAATGCTTTCGCCCTAATAACTTATCGATAAGCAAACCGGTTTTCATTTGTTTTTACTTTCATATTTTTTTTAAACACAGCTTTTCAGCTTGGTAACTATTTATATTTTGACTTACTCTAACTTGACTCCTGGCTGTTTTTGGCTGCTTTGCACTGTAAAATGAACATGAGCTTCTTCTCTTACCCCAGTTCTCAGTCATATCCAGTGTTGGAGTTTCTCTTCCCCATTTTTAAGGTGGAAAACTGGACCTGATTCTAACTATCACCTTATACTACATTTTAACTGAACAACCTACTCGTCACTTTTGCACCAGTTTTTATTAATAATGGTTGTTCAAAGAAATTTTATTTGCCACCCTGCATTTTTTTAAGAAGATAAACGAGCCATTTCATCTTGCTGGCACTAACCTCATCATATCGGCTTGCAATAGTCCTACAGTGGGATAAAACTGCTTGCATCCAACTAAGTTAAAAACCTGCTTGAAGCATCCGTAACAGTCGTAATGTTCTGAACCATACCGTAACTTCAATCGCCTCGCCATCTCTTCACAGCCAGAGGGGAGTCTGAGCAGACTTCCACTCAGTCCTCAGAGGAAGGACAGCTTGTTCATTCAGTCACAATATCCCGGAATGGCACTGAGACCACAGACGGCAGCGCTCAAATCATTGGTGAACAGCAGGGAATAAAGGAAGGAGAGTGGTTTGACCTTCTGTATCGGGAACCTTCTGTAGCCGCTGTCCAGACTTTTGATTTTGTGAAACAGCCAGGTATCTGCAATTATACAGCCAACACCTTTTCTACATTTCTATCTTGTAATCTTTAAAAACATTGTATCTGTTTTAAGCGTAAAACTTGTGGTTTATTTATGTATGGGTAACTATTCGATTCCCACAGATACACTGCGCATAAATACTGTTTTGCAAATACTGAACAGGAAAATAGCTTAATTATAGCACTTATTAGAACTTTGGAGTTGTCATTATGTGTTTACCCTTCCTTATTAGTTGTTTTCTTCAATATTTGTGTTAACTTAATAATTAATCCTGTCCATAGTAATCAGTCAACATGACTTTTAGGAGTTCATTGTTTTTATTTCCTAGAATACTTATAGAAAGTTATTTATTTCCCTCATTTCTGTATTTGGGAAAAGTCCTTGCTTGCCTTGGTTGCATTCATCTTTGTTTCCTTCTGCGTGCAGGATGCACTTGGATCCTATCATTGGTCATCTTTGTCAGGCAAATCGCTTCATAACAAAAATGTTTTATAAATGGTCTACTTCTAAAGTTTTCAAAATTCAACAGTTCCAAATTTCCTAACGACCCCCCATTCAGAGGCATGGCCCAGGTATTGCAGGCTAACAAAGAATCCAAAATGACTCCCCATTACTAAGGGGTGGACCCTTTCTTCTGGTTCACTTTGCATGTTTTCTAAGCCAAAACAAGTTTTTGGCTTAGAAACTTCTAACTCTATGCTACTTCTGACATTTTGAATTGAAAGCTTCCCTTATGGGAAGTGAAACGTCTTCAAACTTGGAAGCAAAGTCCAGTGGATTTTTTTTTGGAATGACTATCACCTAGATGACTGAGAATCTTCACCAGCATATTCAAAATACTTTGGATGGAAATTTATACTTGAATTTAATTAATTAAAGCTTAAATGTTGGAGAAGTTTTATTTTAAAAAGAAATGAGGAAAAAGGATTTTAATAATTTAGATTTTGTGTAATGATTCAAAAAGAGTCAACAGATGAAAAAAAAATATAAAGTACCTTCCAGTTGCCTTGATAGGATGAAATGTATTTATCCAACTCTACATGCAAACATCTGAAGATTGTGGATTTTGGTTCTCTGGTTCAAAGATGTATATAATTTCTCTGATGTCAGTCAAACCCAGCTTGGCGTCCTCCTCCTCCTCGGACCGCCTTTATCAACCTGCACCATCACAGCAGGACGACTGGTTCCTGTACTTCGACCGCATCTTATCCAAGTTTGAAGAAAAGACTCTGTGTGAGTTATTTTGGGGATTTGTGACTTTTTTTTTTCTTTTTTTTTATCCTGCTTAGTAAAACTGACCAGCAGCCTGCCTTATGATCCAGATTATTGTTCCTATTTAAAGTTTGACGTTAGCTGTATCTTTGTGCTCTTCTCAGCATCTCGTAAAACTCAGCCTCAGATCTTTGTGGAGGAGCTTGTCACATCAGTAGACAAACAGGAAGACACTACCGAACAAGTCATTGAAAGACTGCAGAGATCTGTGGTCTTAATAGATGCACTGGCAGAGATGGAAGATCTGGAAGAGAAGCTGAAGAAAGTGAGGGACTTGGAGGAAAGACTTGAAGAAACGGGGGAGATGACGGAGAAGATTCTGAGGATGGTTGAAGAAGATCTGGGGCAGGAAGAGGTGGAAAGGTTAAAGGCGGAAGAGGGTGATTTGGATCAGGTGGTATTAGAGAAATATGTGAAGAGGCTGGAGACCATAGACGATGATGAGGATGAACTGGGAGAGCAGATCAAGCAGGTTTTTTTCAAAGGTTTGATCCCAGTAGAGGAAAACGAGCTGAATCAATTAGACGATAGTTTGAAGGAAAAGATGAAGAAGATGGAAAGGGAATGGCTGGAAGAAGTACAGGAAACATTTGACGCTGCAGGAGTTTCTGGAGCAACTTCTGTTGTGACTCTGAAGATGGTTGAACACAGAGGCGAGAAGACGGTGACTGTTATTGGTGAGGGGGAGAAGTCAGATGGGAATTTAGAACAATTGACTCAGAGGGAGGTTATAGAGATGCCCGATTATGGAAATCCACTTCAGAGGGCAAATGACGATGAGTGGTACCTGCTTTTTTACCGTCCTCCAACCCAAGTAATAGCCAGCCCATCAGGTACAGTATGCTGCTCTAAAAACTATATGGCACCTCTACTAATCGTTGTAATATGCTAACCGTTTTACGTGAGATAAGTGATGCGGCAAATATGAATAACACATTGACCAACTAGTTCAGTTCATTGAATAACTTTGTGCTTGCTGCTGCCGTGCTCCCTGCGGATGAGATCACCTCGCATTTGGACTTTACTGCTTTTGAAAACGCTTTTACAGCCTGTGGCACACATTACCACCCATGTTAAGTCGGTATTTCTTTTTTTTTGCTATTACCCTCATAATTAATCTCTACTGTAGATGAGAGTAAATATTTGAGTTCAGTGGAGAAGAGACAGGTAGGAGAAGAGGAAATTCAGGAACTGCAACGACCGACGCTGATGGAAAAGGTGGATGACTGGTTTATGTTGTTGGCTGGTATTCCAAGAGAAAGCCCCTACATAGAACCAGGTAATGCTTAATAAAGGTTTTACTGTTTTCGTGCTTCTGCTTTGTAATCTACTTGCTGGCTGATTAAATGTGTGAACTGCCGCTGATTGAGGAAATCTTCTCCTGGTTCCTTTTATCAGTAACCATTAAGGAAGCCCAGGTTGATAAAGAAAGGGTCGTCTCTGTGGTTGAAGTTTCAGAAGATTACAAAGTTGAGGAGAGACTGGTAATACAACAGGCTCCCCAAAGCGATAAAGAAATCCAACCAGTGACTCAGAGGGATGTTGATAGGTTTGTGTCGCTGGATGTTCCTTCTAAACAAACTGAAAATGTACAACCAGGTATTGGAAAACATCCGCACTGACTGGCAATTTAAGTGCAGCAAACTGTTCATTTTACAGGCAGGAAAGACTGAAGTTTTTTCTTTTTGCTTTTGGTGTCGTTGGAGTGAGTCTAGCAGGGGGTGTTTCCCAGTCCCAGATTGAAGCAGTCCCAGCTGTTGATCTGAGAGAAAAAAGAATGGAGATTTTTGTAGAGGATGCAGAAATAAAACTAATACCAAGACAAACTGAAGATGACTGGTTTGTGCTGTTTGACCTTCCAGATAGGGGATCATCTTTTATGCAAAAAGGTATTACTAATATTTCTTTCCCTTTCATGTATTCATTTTTCTTGACTTGTTATCTTATTTAGAAATCCTGTTGTTCAATTTGTAGTTCCTTTTGTTGAGTGAAATATCGGAAACTGTACTGAAATATTTAACTTCTATCAGTAGGCGGCCATTAATCAATTAAAGAAATAGAGCCTGAGATGCTGAAGCTTAACAAATGGAGTGTGACATTCCAATTTTACTGACAGTAAGTCTTCGACTTTTTTTGTTTTATCCATAGCTTCAAAGGCTGAGTATGTTCAGGTTCTTCATAGAGAAAGCATGCCAACCATGCCTGTGACTGAGTTAGAGGAGAGGAGGGAGGTTATAGTTGAAGAGATCTCGATTCAGAAACACACAAAGAAGCTTCCAGAGCAGACAATATTGCATCCAGTGAGCAACCGAGATGATGATTGGTATCTGCTGCTGGACACAATTCCCAAAGTGAAGCCTTATGCACCTCCAGGTAACTTTGTCCTTTAGATGCCTTTTTTAATGAAATTACTACAATACGTGTCATAGGAGTTGAGAAATTTCAATTTTTCAATTTAAATTTACATTTTTTCCAGTTTTTGTGCCACAAACATCTAAAGCCATTCCAAGTGTTTCAGGTGAAGCAAAAATTGTAGAGCAGAGGTCATCATATCCGATTAGCCCACAGCCTTTGCAGCCTCTAGAAAAAGATGACTGGGCCATTGTGTTTGAGACGCCAGTTATTGTGCCTACAGGTACAAGATCATTGTATTTTAATCTTTTAAATTTCTCAGCTTTTTTGACGCAATTGTAACGCAACCATTTGGACATTTTGTGTGTGCCAGTTGCCGCTGCTGAGACTATGACATTTAAAGAGACAAAGACGTTTAAAGTCGAGGCAAAAACCACAGAGATTACAACGTACAAGGAAGCGAGAACCACTGAGATTAGAGCAGAAGAGGAGGTGATAATTGGCACGGCCAGCAGACAAGATGGTACTCGTTTTTCTGAAATAAGGCCAAGCCGACCTCCAACTCTATCAAACCTAGAAGATGATTGGCTTGACCTGTTTGACATTGCTCAAGAGAAACGCATACTCTCTCCACCAGGTACTTTTAATTAGCTTAAGGCAGTGTGTACTCTGTGCTATTTGCTTAAAGTTTTTGAATACTAATTTTTCTGTGTCAGTTGCTGCGGTTCGGAGGGTTGAAATACCCGTACCCAGTGAACCAAAACCAAAAGCCGTCATGGAGGATTTAAGGGGACCTCCTGTGACTTTAGTCAGCCCGCTACAACCAAAATCTGTGGATGATGATTGGTTTGAACTGCTTCATGCAGCAAAAGAACCAGGTACTCTGCTGTTTGTATTTCCGTGTCCTTATGAGCCAGAATCACTCCTGATGGGGTGTGTTGTTTGCTCCACAAGTGAGCTGATACTTGGTGCTTACTGTAAGGTTATGGGTTATAGAAGTCTACGTTTCTGTTTTTAGACTGTATAAACTTGGCCAATTTGTTACTATTTTTTGTCTTAACTATCTTAGTGCTGATCTAACTGGTTTAACATGTGGCTATTGCAGTAAAAACATTTTTTATTGGCTGAAACAGTAGATTCTGGTACACAGCTTCTTAACTCGTACAGGAATTCATCACCATAGCTCGACATTCAAGAATAAACAGAACTCCGTCAGATATATGGCACACAGTACATGTGCATTTACAGATAGGAAGAAAAAGTTACAGAGGAATAGTTTGTGTACATTTTATCTTAGTTTTTCCTTTTGATTGTGTGTCAGTGGCTGTGAAGCAACGGGACCTCCTTGTTCCTGAAGTCAGAGAGGCTAAAACCTTTGTAGTCCCAGAGCAAAGAAAACAGCAGAGGGTTTCTATAGTGGATGAGAAGTGGCAGCAAAAAGAAGCATTGAAGGAACGTCCACCGCAAATAAAAGTGGAAGATGATTGGTTTGTTCTTCTGGATCGCACTCCAAAGACATCAGGTACACAATGAATTAGAGCTTCAGCTAAATATTGCTTGTTTATATTCTTCTTGGCGTGAAGTTGTCAATGTCAAACCTAACAGTTTTATGGTGATATGAAGGCCCTGAAGGCTATCGATGTTCTGTAGTTCTTTACCACAATAACGCCCGGTCTTATATCTATGTCAGTCGCTGCTCCTGGACGAAGCAGGCTCCGATCAGAGGTCAGAGCTCCAGCTCCTGTGGCCACAACAAGGACTGAAATTCCTAAAAAGCCACAATTTGAGATGCGGATCCTGGAAGAAAGGCAGCCTCTCACGCAAACACTTGTCACTGATGATTGGTTTGTCCTGCTAGAATCTGATGCCAAAAAGTCAGGTACTTTTACTGTTTAGTGTGGAGTGCATTTTTTGTTTAAGGCTCCTTTATGGGTTTTTCAGCTTTATAAAAACATACTAATTTGCTACCTGGATACACTGGCTGATGCACAGGTGTCTGCTCACATTTACTAATGGACAGTTTTTGCTGGTTGACCAACTAATGCTTTATAGACGTTTGAATACCTCGTCATCAATACGTCTGAAATGTGACTTAACTGCTTTTATGCGCTCTTTGTATTATTTCGATTGAAACATGCTGCCTCATTACTCCCCCTCAAGGATGTCTGCTTCTTGCTTACTTTTCATTCTTATATGAGCTTTAAAAACAAAAGCACTAAAAAACCCATCAGGTACAGTATACGCCTGCTGTATTTTTATCTACCTAATTACAGGGGGGCCTAATGCAGTAAGTATGGTTGATTACTGTTTCAGTTGGGCTTATAAATGCTGAATGAAGAGTTCAAATATCTTAATTATTAAATGTTGCCTTTAGAATTCCAAACACATTTTCTTATTATAACTATTTATTTATTTTTTTTGTAGTTGTGAGCTCACAGAGGGGCACACGTCCGGTCAGCGCTCCAGTCTTCTCCCAGGCTGCCCTGGCAGAGGCAGGGATCCCAATGGCCCCCTTGGACCAGCCCCAGACCTCCACCCCCATAAAGACCAGCCGCCTGGAAGAGAGGAAATTGGAGGTCACAGTGGAAGCAGCAGAGCCTTCAAAAATGGAGGATTTGTCTGAGGTCAAGGTATTAAGCTCTTTTATCTACCCTATATTTCCATCTGGGATGGAAAATGAAGAATGTATGTAACATACTTGTGACATCTGTAGTAAAGATCAGATCAAAAATTAAAATAAAAAAATGAATCATTTTTATATCTCAGTAGCATATATCAGGCTGAAATGTAAAAAATAAAAACTTTGATTTGATTACCTTTGTAATATATGTATTTAGTGGGGGGTGTTCACTGTTTGAGAACTGCACAGTGTCCATAGAAACCATCAGTAGCTATCTAAGAGAGTGAAGCCAGAAAAAAAAAACATGTTGTGCCATCACAAATCTAAATATAATCTAAAGAGTGTTTCTAAAGAAGAAGAATAAAACAAAGAAAATACAAAGTTCTGGTTTATTGGGAAAAGATAGATGTAAAAAACTGATAGAACCAGGTAATAACTGATGTTGAGTCAAAATCATGTACTTGAGTTTTCTAATATTTAGTATTTTCAGATGCAAAATCATGACGTCGTAATAAAATATGTGTTTAAATGCTTTTAGTCCTCCTTTAACAGGGGTTCCAATTGATTAGTGTCTGTATTTATATGTCAGCTAATAGTTTTTTGCAGTTTGGGTGAAGATTTTATCCAAGATCTGCCTTAGCTGTGGTATCTTAAAAGTTGTTAGCGATACAGAAAGAGAACTTGGTGACTTTCTCAGTGTCTGAGAGTAAACTGTGTGTCTTGCTGCTGTAGCCAGCAGCATGGCGGGAGCAGAGGGAGGGAGACTCTTCACTGATATCCACCATCAATGGGGACATTCAGGTTAGTGGAGGACACAGGCCTCTAACAGGTTTTAATGAGTGCAACCAACAGAGGGTGCTAACAGGTCTTCCTCTCTTCTCCCCCCCTCCCCGGGGTAGCATGAGTCTAGGACCGAGAGGACAAGCGTGGAGGGGGTGCAAATGCGAAAGGTCAGACTCTCGGTGCCGTACTTTTCTCCACTTCTGATTTTTCCATGTAAAAGAACTAACGCAACCCTCTTCCCATGTTGTGCCTCCATACGTCAAATTTAACACTCAGGAGGTTTTGAGCAGATAATGTTTATTTTTGAATGGTAAAAGAAATGCAGTTATGTACAGAGTATGTAAGAATCTGGTTTTAAACTATTCTAAATCCTGTCCTATTTATTCACTATGCTTTCCTCAGCTAAGTAGAAGTTTAAATTTGCTTGCTGTCATAAACTTTCGAATGCACACATGCATGATCTTAGACTAACTGGTGTTTTTTTGTTTTTTTTGTTCTTATTTTCACAATATAAGTCCTTCTTCATTACTAGTTTAGTACAGTTTTGGTCACTGCACCAAATTATTTTGCATGAACACATCTATGCTCGTCTCTTGTATTACTGAACTCTATTCTATGCATGTCCAGCGTGTGGCGGCGCAATGCCAGCGCACAGGAAAGCTAAAACAAACCCACACTTTTTTTTCTTTTCATTCTTCACAGAAAAGAGCTAAGAAAATTGAGGGTGACTCAATTTATATCAGACATAGCCTGTTAATGCTGGAGGTTTGTATCTGTTTCAGAGCTCTCAAGCTGCGTTTTTCTTGCTCTTTGGCAAACGGGCTGCTGCTGCTGTTAATCTCACGCTTGCATGTGCTATTATTCACAGTAATTCTTGCATCGGCGATAGATGACTGTCATTGTGTGAAAAATTTACTTGGTTAAGTCAGGAGAGTGCTGCTGAACTTTAAAACAACAATAACAACCCTAAATCAGTGATTCCTTTGCTGTCGATAGTCATTGTTAGCCAGACTTTTAAGTAAAACAAGAACTTTTAAAGTGTTTTTAGGTGAAAGCACTATGAAATCAGCTTACACCACAAATAAAGTTAAAATCAGGTATTCACATGACATAATACATCACGGAGTGAGAGTAACATACACTGAGACCACGATGCCTTTTAACAATTTGGTTATAGCCAGCAAAGTACGTCTGCATTCTAAGTTTCCAGAGGTTTAATTTACACTAATGAGCTAAAAAGATGATAGCTTCAAGTACCTTCCTTGCTGATGTACTTGAAGGCAACACTTTTAAACAAGCTGAAACAACAAGAAGAAAACTGTGGAGCCACAAGTTTTGGGGAGTTCACACTTCTCATCTGCCTGGAAGCGCCACATTAGTCTCTATCAGAGTAAATACCATCACAGTATCTGATCACATCATTCAGAAAGCATTGTTTTTTTGCCAGACGTGAACATTAGCCGTATAACGAACTATATAGCATGTCAAAAGAAGCCGTTTTCCCCAAAAAAAAAAAAGAACAAGAAATTGCCAGATTCCTGTATGCATATGGACTACGCCATTAATACCATAAGATTTTGGCCCATATCCTGCGGTCTGATGAAAGGATCCATGAGATGTTAGCTATGATGGGCATGGTTAAGTTTGATTTAAATAGGGGGGAACCATAGAAGTTTGATAACAGCATCCCCACTGGAGTTCGGCGGTGGCAGCATTATGCTATGGGGGTGGTTTTCTTCACAAAATAGGCGGAACCTGAGAATAAATCATGATTGAAATATTAGAGAAACTTCCTAAGATAGCTTTCTGGTACATACAGTCTTCCAGTTGATAAATGACCGAAATCATGTTGTCAGATTTGTTATGTATTGGCTTAACAACAAAGAAATTCATGTAAGAGTGGTCATCACAAAACTTGTTTTTTAGTCGAATAGAAAATAGATGTGGGCAGAGCTGAAAAGAAACCAGGTCTGTCAGACGGAATGGGTCTAAATTCCTGTAAATTATTATGAGAAGTTTGAGAAGAGACAAACACTAAGATGACCCCAATCATTGAGCGTCAAGGGAATTCTGACAAAAAACGGTGGAAATGAATCTGTAACAACACGCAAATCCTGTAATTTGTCACCTATTTTTTTTTAAGTAGACCTATTTTGATGTTCTTAAAATATTACCTTTTTCATTTAATACATAAAACATGAAGTTAATATTGTATTTATAGTACTGTTAGGGAAATCAGTGCCTGCCTACAATATCTCAGATTGGAGCATCTTTAGTTTATAGTTGCCCCCTTTGTTTTTTCCAGAAACAGACTTAATCTTGTTCATCAGTATTCTCCTGCTTCTGCTTCTGCTCATTGTCACAGTAATTACCTTAAATGCACTTAAGTTTTGCAGCAGTTATAAGTAAAAATCTTTGCCTGTAAAAAGAATACCATCTAACTAAAGGTCTTTGCTGTGTGATGTGTAGCCACAGTATAGTCTGAGAAACACAGCTTTAAAGCTCCAAATCTGCTTCCAATAAATAGCCTGCAGTTGGTTTTGCAACATGACTGCCACCATCTCTTGTTTTTAATCCCAACTTGCTGCCAAATGTTGCTAAATCAGCATTTCTTCTGTCACATCAGTTCATTTCATCCAATGAACGTGTTTCCTTCTCTGTCAAGGCTTTGTTTCAGTCATCTCAACCATGTCTGCTGTCATTCCCCCTGCTGCCCATTGATTTGTGGCCTGTTTACTGATTCTTTCTATTGCAATTCTAATGCTGTGGAATTAAAACCCCTTATTGATCGTTTTGTGGCTTGTTTGAATCTAATAGTCAGTCAGCTGCCAGACTTCATTTGAAGCCTGAAAAAGCACTGCTGATGATCTGCTTTGAAAAAGTGGCGCATTTGTTCTTTTGTGAAGAAGTACAAACATCTGGATTGATTTCTTCTAATTTTTCCCCTGCAGAATTACATGTTAACTCTGCTTCTGCTTATTAATGAAATCAGCAAGAAATTATTTCCAGATTGAGCAATAGAGCACAGAATAATGTAATGGTTTTCTTTCTTTCTTTCTTTCTTTTATTCCTGCTCTCCCGCTCTGCCCCTACATCTCTCATCGCCGTTGTCCATTGTTCACATCCTTTACCTTCTTCCACAACACCTCGTCCCTCTCTGCTCGACTTTTACCTCACTCACGTAGGAGTTCGATAAACCTCAGGAGGACCTGCTCCGGCACCACGCCAGCATCAGTGAGCTGAAGAGGAACTTCATGGAGGCTGTGCCAGAGCCTCGGCAGAGTGAATGGGACAAGCGCCTGTCCACACACTCTCCGTTCCGCACCCTGGGCATCAATGGCCAGCCGCTGCCCAGTACAGACGGGGTAAGTTCAGAAGATCTCTTTTGCATCCGAACAGAGCTAGGGGTTCTTAGAGGGACATGTCATTAAGTCACATATTACATATATATCTTTATCTTGTTGTAAATGTGACCTAATGTTTTTCCTTTTCTGGTAAATCTGCTGACTTAGTAAATTTATCTTGGAGGGACTTTGTCTCCTCCTGCTGCTCTTCATTGTCTTCATGTTGAACTCTGTGCACAGTGTATGCATGTAGTTTCTGATTAAACTGATGGCACGTGTTAAGGAGCACATGCATGTGTATGAAGGATGCGGTTGGACCGGGTGAACCAAGCATGTTGCTTTACTTCCTCTACTATTCAGACAAACAGCCTCTGTTGGTCAGGTCATTTGCTCTCCGAGAACCTGGCCCTGGGTTTATCTGCACTGGATGTGTCTGAATTCCTGACATGTTTGTGTTGCATGACTGACAGACCTGACTTGGAAAACAATACTGCATGACTACAAGTTAAGCAGGTTTCTACCAGGCGTGCACGTTCTGACTCAGAGCAGTTGCTCCTTTTCTCCTCTCTTCTCTGTTCCTCCTTCATTGCTCTCTGATTGCTTCTAATCCCCTTTCTTTGCTTTCACTTTTGTTTGGCTGATGCTTTTGATTAAAAAACAAAGTTTCATCCACTATTGCATCTAAACTTGCTGTACTTTGCAGAAGTATTCACATAAGTAATCATGTGATTACAAAGTTTATTTTATTTAACGGGATTAAGTCTACATATAAAACTCTAGGTTTACTGTAGAAACACGTGAGGCTAAAGAAAAACATATCAACCTGTAACCGAATAGTTTGTGTCCGTACCTTAACCCAATTAAATCTATGGAAAAAGCTTTTTAACCTTTCAAACTGAGCTCAAGCTATTTTACTCGGAAAAATTGTGATATTTCAGTTTGTGGCGAAAACAAAGATTCGCAGCGGCAAGAGCATTTTTATCTCTGTGTCTTCCCTGTAAAATCAAATACCAATAAAATACAACAAAGACTATGTTTTTAATCTATGGGTTAAAGGGTCACTTTCTCATCAAAATGCGGTTGGGTTGTACAAACATCAGTGAGGAAATGAAACAGAACCCAAGCAGAAAGGGCTTAAACTCAGCAATCATCAGGTCCCATTTCCTGACACAGGTTGCTGCAGGTTTTATAAACTAGTTTATCGTTCTGTTAACCCTTTTATGTTTAATATTGTTACCGTAAGAGATGAAAAAAGGGGCTATAAATAGAGTTGTGCTGATTCCATTTTTTTGCACCGATACCCATACCTGACACCTGGCTGTGCAGTATCGGCACCATCTAATTGAAATTGATGGGTGTGTGTGTATATGAAGAACTGCATACTACTAGGATGTAAAATAATTGCCATTATGGCTTTGTCAAGCTGCTGCCTACCTTTGTGAAACAGGAACAAAAAGACTAATACAAAGTGAATCCAGTAGAACATTTTATTGCCTACCTGGAATGTGTGACAACAGTTGAATAAAATTTTGGCTCTCAAAATGGTATCGGTGACCTATTTGTTGGTATTCGCCGATACCAATACCACCATTTTAGTGCTGGATTGGGGCCCCGCCTGATACTGGTATTGCTATCGGTGCAAGACTAGTTATAAGCTGAGTAGATCCTATCGACCATGGAAGCATAACCCTGTGCTTAAATGGGTAGTTAACCTAAGTGAACCTGCAGTACCGTAAATCCTCTAATTTATGACCGAAATTGCGGAAAACAAGTTGTGAAGTTTTACCAGCTAGAAGAGCGAGGTATGCGAGAACGCTGGGACCCTTTTTCCACCTGGATCTCTGCTCTTTTTCGCCGTCATGTCCCTCCCTTGTCGGACTACTCACCCCCACTTCCTCACCGCCTCGGCCGTATCTAGACCCGCAGTGTATAGCACTGACCACTCTTCAATATTAAGCATAAATCAAAATTGTCTGCATCAAGCTCACTGCGACACACTGCTGCAGGAGTAAAACCAGCCACACAATCGTTCTGATCTGAAAGACAAATGTGATTACCGGTAGGTCTGGTGGTAACCAGGCAGCGTTACAATTACAGAATTTTGTTGGCCTTCGTTGGTCTGAATTTCCCTTGAAATATATACTTTACTTTTTCAATAAATAAACCTAGTATTTTATAGGTTCAAAGAGACACAAAATCTTGTTTTTATTCATTCTACTGGTAGTCTGGTTTGATCAAATAGAAATAGAGGCCTGACTCTAATTCTGGCCTCCTTCCAATAATGGCCTGGACCAAGATGTACCTGAGTGAAATAAAGGCCCTCTCCTATTTTAGAGGATTTACGGCATTAAATTTTATTCTGGGTGTCGTTGAATTTAAAATTTAATTTTAGTTGTATAAAAAGATGCAGTTAAAGTGGATGACTTTGTCATTTCAGATTCAAAACAATTCATTGGACATGGAAATCAAGGAGTGCATGTTAAAATGCATGTAGTGCTAAAATTTCCATGCTCTAGGATAACAATGGAATTTTAACTTTTGTTGAAGTAAAGCTTTTATTATTTAAATAGTAAGACATTGCATAATGCTAGCAGTTTAAAATCAGTCATATCAGACTCTTCAAAATTCCTCCCTCTCATCTCTCTTCCTCCCTCCTCCTCCTCCCCCTCTCAGTTTGTCATCCGCCTCCCACGCGGCCCTCTCCTAGACTTCTACTCCAAACGCAGTTGAAGGGGGGGGTCTTCTCAACGCTGCGGACTTCCTGCACAAAGGTGTGAATGTGATGTACGAAGGCCGCGCCCATCAGCCCATCACTCTCTAGCTTTCCTCTCTGTTCCTCTCTTCCTTCTGCAAACACCACTCCAGCGCTCTTCATCTCCCATCCTCTTCTCCAAAAGACTGTAAAGACTTTGATTCTTTTTATTTCCTGAGGTTGAACAATCGTCTGGTGTTTTTCCAGCCAGAAACGGACCTCATCTCTAAAGACTAAACGCTGAAATTGTTTAACATTTTCTGTGATGAAATTTAATGATAACTACAGCTGGTAATCATCTTAAATTTTTTAATGTCTGACCGGATCACTTTCAGCCCATTTTATACACGTTGGGGTGTGTTTCTATCTTCACTAGTTCTTAGGATTCTGTCTTTGGAAAAACAAATCACTGTGACTTTTTTCTGAACACACAAGAAGAACAAATTTAAATGAGTTGTTTTGGGGATTTTATCGCTGCTCTTCCTTACAATGTAGTATTTCCTGTAGTAGGAAACCTCGAGGCAGCTCAGTTGTAATACAGTTCTTTACCTTCACCATAAGAGAGTACTTGTTGCATGATGTTTTGACAATCAACTTAGACCAAGGAATAAAAAGGCATTCCATAACCAGCTCAGTCTTTTTATTTTTTTTTATGTGTATTGAGTGGGATTTTATTGTGAAATTGTCATGTGCTAAAAATGATGTTTAAGTGCATGGTTGTCTTGGCGGTTTTTACGTAACTGCAGTTTTTCAATCTTATTAAAACATTTAACTAAAACAGCTTGACCACCGTGCCTCAGACGGGAGGAAAAGAAAGGACAAATTAGATATGAAACAAAATAAAAACAAATGAAGAAGCTTAAAGTTTCTTTATTTGTTCTTGGCTAAGATCTATTCAAGACTCATGCTCTCTTTAAATCAAAACCCAAAGAAAAAGCTAGAAGCGGCCATTCATATATAATGTGCAGTGTTGAGAGGTTAGCCATTTCCATTACCTCTAATAGGCCAGCTATTGCGGTTAAGATGCTGATTCAGTTAAACCCAATGAGGCCTTTTAGAAATGATTAATCGACTATTAATACAATTCAAAACATGAACAGGAAGGACCATATTAGGGCTTTGGAAGTGCAGACAGTCTATCACATTTGAAGACCCTGTTGATATACTGATATAAACCATCTCATGGAGATAAAGTAACTATAATGACCTTAAGTCAACCTATAAAACTATAAAACACTTATGTTTAAATAAATGTTGTAGTCCCTTGCTATGTCGGAATACGAAATCCAAAAGAAAATGAAATATATATTTAATTAAGTTTAAAGTCCTCCTAATGAAATGGCCATTGTACGTCTGTCTGTGCAGTAAAACAACTTAAAGCAAAGTCTTTACAATCTCTTATTTTGGTGCTAAGCTAACCAGCAGCCCTACTGTGTTCTTAAGAAAGCAGCTGACAAGACATCACCTCCATTACCCTCTTAATATAAATAACTTTAAAAAACACAAGGCCATTTCCTTCAGATGAGGATTTTGTACATGCAATTTGCTAAAACGTTAGCAGGCCTTGTTTCCACTCCTTGGTATTTCATCTTGATATAATTTTGTACAGTTCCAGTTAAAGACAATAGCTTTCAGGAAAAATGTTTTTCTGTTTTATAAACATGGTATGCTACTTGAACATTGTTCAGCACCATGATAAGCATGTTAGCTATGGTCACATCAGACCAACAGGGAGGAAAGTATAGCAGCCAGTCCTTTTACCTCTGAAGGTCTTTGCAGAAGTAGAAGCACAGTTTGCTGCAATAACTCAGAAATTATCAAAAAACCTGTAATACAGATAAATGCTTGGTTTCCTAGGGATGCGACCAACACAATGGACCGGTAGTTGGATTTAGCAGGGATTAAATTAGGGCTGAAACAATTAATCAGGTTAATCATAATTCATTCGATTATTGAAATAGTCAACAACTAATTTAGTAATCGATTCATCTTTAACTGTAGTATAGAGAGTGTAAAACATGCCTTTAGCTGACAGAGTGACCCACTTAGAGCAGTAAATATATCAAAATTGTAAAAAAAAATATATATATATATATATAAACATCTTGCATTTAAGATAAAAGAAAAAAAAACAAAAAACTTTTCTGTCAATATGCTCTATAAAGAACTCCTCAATCAGGAAAAGACTAAGATTCACCTGGTTTTATTTGTCAAAAAGGAATCTTTGGCTATCTGGTTATTAATTGATTAATCGAAATCATCCATCCATCCATTTTCTTTACACGCTTGTCCCAAGTGGGGTCGCGAGGGGTGCTGGTGCCTATCTCCAGCAGTCATCGAAAAATCATTTGCCTGATTAATCGATTTGCAAAATAATCACTAGTTGTAGCACTAGATTCAATATTCATATTTATAGTAGATAAATGGCAAAAGGCATTACATTATTTGAAAAAGCTTTTGAATTTATGCATTTTCAATGTTTTAAAGCTGTAATTTTCCCAGAAGAAAGTAAAAACCTCTGCTGTTCAAAGCTCCTTATAAATATTATGCACATTAAGCAATTAACGTTGTTTGTGGGGGTACATTTGGAGGCATCTAATTGACCAGAGTGATTTTCACAGAGGAAATACATGTCCTATAAATCTAGGTTAACCAGTCATGAAGTTTGGCAAGTTCCTGAATCATGAAATACATGGGTAGATAGTGGGTTGTGCAATCAATCGTTGAAACGCATAATTTTTGGTTGAAAAAGCAATTAACATTGTGATCTCTTTAGTAGACAGGAAAGGCATGCAAACTTGTCTATGATTCATGTAAATGTCATTTGTTACCACAACACTTTGTCTCCTTATGATCATAGTGACCGTGTTTCTTTTTTTAGAGTGTGTGCATTAGTCCCTCTTGCACATGTTCAGAAACAAAAACTCATCATGAGGAAACCAGCAATAATTTGGAGATCTCTGAGGTACTCGGTCCCTCTGAGAGCGATCAGAGGGAGCCTGCTGGTGTGGAAGCCTGCAGCGCTGCTGTTGAAGAGAAGCCGTATGATCCCGAGGTTGGGGTTTTTCAGACTCACATGGTGCCCCTCGTAGAGGTGGAAATGGCACAGCTGGTTCCTCCGGTTGAGTTCTCCTGTAAGGAGTTACACGAGATCCAGGAGGAAGAAGGAACGTGTCCTGTAGCACCTGAGTGCTGCAGGGGAATAGTTGGACCTACCCCAGCTTCCTATTTCCGGAGCGATGGTCCGCAGGTCATACGCTGCTTCCAGGTAGACTCTTAAATCCCTCAACATGGTGGGAGATGGTGCATCTTTTCCTTCTTGGGCTTTAGTTTCCACACTTGCTGACTCCTTTGCAGCACCTGGACACAAGAAAACGCATCAATCTAAAAAAGACTTTTATATTTTTTTTTTAAATAAATGAGTGTGCTGCAGAGGTGTTGCACGGTGATGTTGTAAGGTCCTTACTGGTGATGGGCTGCTGTAGCAATAATACTTCCTACTTTTACACACAATGATTAAAATAAGTGACTGTCACATGCAAGTGTTGAATAGGAAGTCAGAGGTGTGACCGTATTTCTTCGGGAAACAATCAAAGCTAGTTTGGTCTGGTGGTGGAAATGATTTACACTGAGAGGGACTGCATGGTGTGAAAGAAGAACTGATTGCTGTGAGAGGAGAAGTGTCTGGTTAAACAGCGGCTCACGGGGCTATGCTCCCATCCACAGCCCCCTCTGGTGCAGACCCAGACTGTCACCATCACAGCCGTTCCCAACTCCGTACCCGGTGACATCTCCACCACAGAGGTCCCCATCGTCCCCACCAAGACCTTCACCTATGAGTCTTCAAAGGTAGGGCTGACCCTAACCCAGCTCCAGCAGCAGCTCAGTCCAGATCTACCTCACCTCCAGAAGTTGGCGAGCTAACATACACTGGATTTTGACAGGGGGGGAAGGGGACGGGGGTGGCACTGCAATGCACCTTCATAAAATAAAGGTCAGTCATCATATGATCCTTTTTTTTTCTTCTTTTGGTGTTTTCCTCAGATGTCAGATGAAGGGACGGATGAAGACAAAGAAAGCTCTCTATCCTCTTCCAAGACCATTACCTCACAGACGACCAGCGGCACCACTGTTACCACCACTACTACCCATATCTCAAAGGTTAGCTGCTAAAATGTTTCCTGCTCCACTTTTTTTATTTCATCCCATACTCTGGACCTGCTAAATGTATTTTTACCTTTTCAGGTGGTAAAAAGTGGATCATCAGAGAGCCGTGTGGAGAAGAGAATCGTCATTACAGCAGACTCTGATGCCGACCAAGAACAGGTCCAGGTAATAAAAGTTTTCTCTCCCTGTTGAAACCAGAGTGGAAGGATGAGCGTTTTTTATTTTTTTGAAAGATCTAATTTAGACTAAATAAAAAGCTGGAGGCTTTAATTGGAGTAATCAGTCTACAGCAGGGTAGAATGTTTTTTCTACTGTTAAATGTATTGTTATTTATGCAGTTTGAAATTATAAAGAATGTCCTTCTTATTTTTAGGTAAAAACATTATTTATTGAGTGTCTGGTAGAATTATTAAAGCTGTGCTAAAGTTTGTAAGTGAAATAATAGAATTTCCTGGAAGCTGCAAAGCACAATATATGGTGCAATGGGTTGCCATACAGTAAAGTTTTCATACCTAATTAAACAGTACTGTATTTTCTCTTTAAACCACAAGTTTAATTGATAAATGGAAAGAAATAAAACTCTGTTTGCACTTTGCTTCAAGGGCTAGAAAGTGCACTAAGTGAGATTTAACAAATTAATCTATCGGGCTGTGGCTATATGCTATCCCTCCATTTGGGGAGTTTGTAAAATATATGATTTGATATTATCAGATTCTGGAGGCAAAATGTTAGGAAAATGTAAATGTCATCATTTTATTTGTATTAAGTTACAGGCATTTGGCCTGCACAGAAATGGAAGTGTCATGCATTATCCACCTGTGTGGTGACTTATTACCACCTGGATTAAAACTGCTCCCCCGCCTGTCATTGTTTCCTGCGTCTGTAAGCCCTGATTAGAATATTGTTTGTCGTCTCCACTTCCCAAAGGCTGACTCGGTCAGGTAAACTCACCAAAGGCTGCCATCTTTGCCTTACTCTCCTCAAACAACGAAATATCACAATTATAACCAAACTTCCGGCACATGTTGATTTGCTTGTTTACCTGTAGGGAGGAGTAGTACCGTAGATCGTCATTAGGAGGCGAGGAACCTTGCTAGTTTGGTGTGTAAACGTTAGTAAACAATTAAGCTCAGCACAGTTAAATGATCCAAGGTTGGTCTGAACTCGACACGGATCGGTTTTCAGAGGTTAGTTTAAATGGGGCTAGAGTAGTCCTAATTTTTTGTGCTCGAAATAATATTTTGCTATAATGGATTTGTAATAAATCTCCTACCATTATTGGATGGAAGATGCTTATTTTGGAATATATCCCTCTCGACTTTCTAACATGCCTCATCCACTCTAAGACAGACACTTTTGGACGCATATGGAAGCCCTTCCTGGACTATTCTGAAGGACTGTGTCTACCATCCTGTCTAGAGCGTTTATAAATGCTTAGATTTGGACTCTATAATGATGGAAATATGTATGCCCCCTATCTTATCTTTTCTTTTCTGCACTGCTGAGCTTGTGTTCTTTGTCATGTTGTTGTTAAACAAAAATTAATAAACATATCTATAAAAAAAAAAATGGGGCTAAAGTTGAACACAGACATTGAGGAAGTGTCATTCTCCCTCTGGTTCCACTCTCCTGTTCTGCTGAAAAGTAACTTGTGTCGTGTGTTGATTTCTTTCTAGGACAATAAGTGGTTATTATCATTAACCCTATCACGACCACTCTGCTGTTTTATCATGTTAACATGAATAAATGTTTGTCTTTCAGGAGAAACATGGTGGAGCATCAGCATTGTAACAGAGCCCTCCCTCATCCCTTTGACTCAGCACCTCCAACATCCTTTAGACTGCGACACTCTACGCACGCAGTGTCCAAATCTGTTTGCGCACAAAAGACCTCAGAAATCTGCTCTAAAATGACTGCGTAGACTGTTCCTTGTAGATCCACTTAGTTTGTTTTCTGATCTGAGCTCTTCACAGTAGGTAGGCGCTGCTCATTAAATGCTTCAAATATCATCCTGGTATTTTAGCGTGAACACTTTTGATTGGTTGAAAACCAGCCTTTTTTATCAGCTTTAGTAATCTCAGTTATGTTTGCTTTGAAATGCTTTTATTGTTTTGTTTTTTTTTCAGTGTGGTTTTCTACAGATGTAGAGCTTCAGTTCAGGAACCGTGATTAGCAGTGATTCCCTTGGTGCTACTCTGGGAAAGCGTTAAGAAGACATTCATGTGAACTCTTTTTTTAATTTTTTTTTTGTTTACTTGTTAAATTCAGGAGAGATTTTTTTTTTATTATTATTGTTCAAATTACATACCTCACATTTACAACATGAACAAAGATATTCTGTGCTCAAATTTGAACAGTTTCTTCGGCTTTGTTCACTGCTCAGGTACGAAAAGTGATGTCTAAATCTTTGCTTCCCCAGCCAGCATGGAACCTGTAGCCTACAACTTCTTGTAAAGTTTAAACTGAAAAAAAAAGATCTATTTTCAAATATTTCTCTATTTTGTAAAAGTATGATTTTTTTTATAATATTTGTAAAGATTTGAGCTTTTTAAGTTATTCATATCCATTGGGTTTGTAGGTGACCAGCTGTTTAAAGACATGTTCTGCCTGAATCATTCTTATTCGTTTTCTCTTGTAGTCCACCAAGTTTACCAGACTCTTCATCCTTTTACAAACATGTGCTCCCCTAAACCATATTTCTCTCATTGTCATACTTTTTACATACAGTGGCTTCTGGAAAAAGTAAACGCCTCCCTGAAAGGCCAGGTTTTTAATCACGTTATTAAAAGTGGGCCTTTGATTAAATGTTTTGAAACCTTTAAACCTGATATGAAATATATCCATCTTTAAAAGGTAATAGTATGAAGCATTAAACGGTCCAGCAAAATGACCCTTTAAAGTTAAAACTTTATTGAAGTACCTGTTGATTTTTTTATCTCTACATTTTTTTTTGCTATAATTAATTTTGTTAACCTATGCATCATCTCTTTAAAAAAAAAAAAAAAA